ACCACGACTTTTGATGAAGTATGAGGTATCACAAATAGACAACGCTACACCTGAGCAAACGTCTTAGAATGCAATTCCAAAAAATACCCCAAATGCAGCGTTTCAAATTCAGCAAGCATTGAGAGGGCCGTGGAAACTAATAGGTGAACAAATAAACTTCGCCGCCTGTGCATCTGCTTAACAACTAAATTAGAGACGATTTTGCTATCTAGACTAGTGACACAGTTGCGTGGAACGATCTCCATGACAAATACTGAAAAGACGTTCGAAGGAACGATTCAAACAGACAGTCTGTTACCAAAGGGGACCTATACGCATTATTCTGATAACATCTCTGCAATCGCCGCACTTCTACCTCCAAAATAGAACAATTTTTAAGTGTTGTAAAGGTATTAAGGATTCGCTGATCATTTCGTCAATGTTAAGGACACATTTCGATAGTAGATCATGGAAGGCCTTTTAGCAAATAGTATGGCAACACTTTCATCGGAGTGCCTAAACCTACCCCTCATTCGTACTCGGTTTGATGCATTCGGGTTGAAATGCTGAGGACGGATTTCATAAGAAGAACTAAAATAACTCCAGCGTCCCCAAGCTTCTCTGAAGACGAAAGAAGACATAATACTCGGATAGAACATATGCATTCAGCACAGAGGAGGTATTTGGGCTACTGGCATGGACCGAAGGCCAGCCCACCCGGCGTGGTACAAAGGCCAAGTCAAAAGTGGCTCCTCGCCAATGCCAAGAGATAAACAACCATCGCATAACATAACAGAAATGATTACCACCTATATGTAGCCACTGATGGCGCAGTGGGCGTCATGCTAAAGAAATCCGAAGCCAAACATTAGAAAGGTTCAAAATTGGGCTAGCAAAGCAATGTTCAGCCAAACGGTCGCAAGGCCGAAGATTTAGATGCCGCACAGCAGGACTCAATGCTTTCTAATTAGTGAATCCAAGACCATCTACTTGCGCATCTATCGGGTAATGAGGTCAAAAAAAGAACTGAATCAGCGAATAAGACCCGACTTCTGGTAAATCTATACCAAAGGAAGTCGAAGGCGGAACTTGAGATAGCAGCTATAGAAGCACTGCTTAATGTTTTCGCAGTTAAGGTCTACCTGCCTCCATTGCGACATCTCAGTCATCGCATTGGTTAAATAATCGCACCAGTTGAGGCTAATTATACAACCCAGCACAAATCCTGCTCAAAAACCAGAAAACACAAAGGGCATCCACCAGTTTCAATATCACAAATATGAACGATTATTTTAAAAACCATGATTCAGTGCAACCCCAGATATCATAAGCTGTCAAAAAACCCAAGTCTCATATATATGCCGCGTGGTAGACAAATAGCTATGAGAATCGTAGAAACCTTTTCGTAGCATAACAACTTTAATCAGAAAGATGATCAAAATCAGGAAATCAAAAAAACACTCACTTTGGTAAAATGGTAACCCCATGGTCCAGCTGAACCAGCTTAAGCGCAAATTTGGGGACTGAACAAGCATTTCCAGCCTCCTCATTCTCCCACATGAATGGCCAAATCACAACAATGAGTGCCATTACTACGAGGCACGACTTTGGTGGAAATCCCCAGACCTTCCAGTTGTAACACATCGGCACTCGTGGGGTCCTTTAAAGAGCAGACAATGTCTACTGACTGACCACCAGGGCAACAAAGCAGCCACCAACTCCCGCTGAAAGTGCATTTGTCCTAAGATAGTTCAAAGTCAAGCGACAGATTGATTATAAGTTGTTTTGGATTAACAGATTCAGACTCTTCCTGAGGATGTGAGCATATTGGCAAATACTATAATCCTAAAAAACAAATAGATCTGTTCTTCACAATGCACAAAAACAACAAGAAATATTAGACATGGGACTAAATCCTAACTCACCTTCGACTTCAAATATCTTTTAATTACGTACGGCAAAAACGGGATTCTCCACACTTCTTGCATATTCATCTTTAAACGTATGCTGACAAGTAGACAATTCACTTTTGCTAACACCTAAGGCAGCAAAAGAAAGAAAATACTCGCCCTTAAAAACTTGCTCACCCTCGTTCGGTGGTAATACAAGCCAATTAACATGGCAGAAATCCATTGCCGCTCGAGGAGATGAACAAGTGGGCCAGCTAGTCGCACAAATGCACAATGACCTTGAATGGGAAGGTGGGTTCTGTTTATACAGCATATAATTTATAAAGAAAAGCTATTGTACTTTGATTGGAATAAAAACATCAATTCAAAAACAACTGGAAAGTTAACAAGCTAGCCGACTTATTTTTGCCTGTAAAAGGGCAACATCACCCATAATTCCGATGATTTAATTTATTATTCAGCAAAGAAGGACTTGTGTAAAGTCATTCCTTAAGTTCAAAATGCGTTTCTGCATTATTTTGCTACCTACAACCATTTTGCACTTGTATATTTTCGCCTATAAAGATCAAACACCATTTTACAAAGGGCAGCAATTTGACGCAAATGGTGTTCATTTGCAATTTAAGCAGTCTTACGTCAAGTTATCTCACTAGCATTTCATGGCTATGGACTGTCACACTGTTGTTTAGACCAACGAATTGTATTATTGTCGGAATTTCGACTAATATGCGTGTTTTGGGGTAGAAGATTTATCTTTAACATTTAGTCACAAGTTATTTCATGGTTAATTAATGGCAAAGCTTCATTGTCCACATCACAATAATATTCATGTTGGAAGCGCGTATCATACTTATTTGATACTTCGCGATCTGATTATTAATGGACTTCCACATTGCTATTTGCAAAATCAGTCCTCGCTTTTGTGCTGGCCCTTTCTTCCCGAAGCCTACAGAGTAAGACCTCAATAATCTGCAGCGCCCCGAGACTCCATTAAGACGAAAGAAGACACAATACTCGGGCAGAATATATATATTCAGCACGGAGAAGGTGTCTGGGCTATTGGCATGGCCCAAAAGGCCAGCCCCAGCCAGCGAGGTACAAGGGGGCTAATTCGAAGTACAAAAGTGGCGCCTCACCAATACTGGGGATAAACCACCATCGTATTACAAATCACCTACACAAAGTTCAGATTCGACATCAATTGGGGCTGAAGGTTGAGCCCAAAGCAAAGGAATGGCTTTCCAGAGACCTGCAACTGTCTGCTTAAAAGGCTATAGCAAACTTTCATGCGTCACAATTAAGTCACCTAAATGTTCTGGTTCAACTTTGATTGAATTACTTTCGATGGAACTACGTGTAATTCAAAACGAGTTGTAGGCAATGCTTACGGGTGTATTTGGGACTCTGTTGAAGAATCGCCCGTTGTTTACCAATAAAAAAAATCTGTTTTACATGATCGGCTGCTTACAATCACGTCTGCTGGACGTGTATCAATTCGCATAGGATGCGAACGTTATTGTCTACCAGGTGTAGATATGAATCCTCACCTTACGGGCTTATTTTGATGTAGCAAATGTGGGAAAATAACCGCAATATTTTCTCCCTCGAATACTTGGTATTTTAGTGGGACTACTAGCTTGCTTTTTATTCAGCCAGATAATTATTTGGGATAAAACATTTGTGTGTGTGTGTGCGTGTGGCATAAGTAAGAGCACCTCAAAATTGCAAAGAATGAATTAAGGCGAATAAATGGATAAGTACCGCATCCGAAAATCGCCAAAGTTTTGTGCTAGTTAAAAGCGGTTAGAAATACATGCAGCAATTCATTTATAATCAGTGCCATGCATACTACTAGTACGTTATTATTAACCAAGCGTGAATCCATATGCAGCCAGAGGAGAGTTGCCGCATTTTCTTTGCATTATAGTCATGCTGTCGCTTTTGTTTGCAGAATCTATAAAATTTTAACATCTTCGTAGTAGGCAGCAGGCTTCTCATAAAACCGACTCCTCAGGTCAGTAGACCTTCCTGCAAACCTCAAACAATTCTTTTACAGGACAATACACCAATCACGAAAAGGCTACTTAAGCAGTAAGTTCAAGGTATCACTTTTGGAAGAAGTGGTAGATCCTTCACGTAATGACCGTCTGAGGAATTGCCTGCTTTTAATTCAGATAGGCGTCTATCAGCAGTAAAACAGACGACGGTGTCGATGTCACTGCTGCTGCAAGATTTTACTGCCTTGGGAGTATTATGGACTCTCAAGATGGATTATCACATTCCTTACCTATCATTCCTTATCCACGTGTTCTCATGACTTCTCAACCGGACAGTCCTGACAGAGCCAATGTGCTAACTTCGAAGTGAGGTCAACCCGTTCCCTCCCCCCTACAGGACCATTATTTAAACCCCTACCCCTCTGTCACGCAGTCGATCTAGGCTGGCGCCTCCTAGTAATGGTAGGTTTCGGTGGCCTTTAGCTTTACCTTCCTTGCTCTCTGTTTTTTCGTTTCCGATTTTTAAACCTGTGCCTAATCAATTTCCATGCCATTCACGATCACACGCGTCCTTAACAATTTAGGCACACAAAAGATCACAACGTAAAATTGCCTACCTGCCACCTGCAGTAGGATTGAAAATATGCCAATTTCTCAATGTCACGGAGTCGGTGAATTTCTGCATGAGTGTTCCGAGCATGAGGTGGCTCCTTTCAGCACACCGATTCACCGCTGAGCTGTGTCAGCGCATTAACCAATGGACCTGGCTGGACAAGCATCTTTGCCACCTACTCTTCTCACAACCTTCACCAACTTCTTTCCATAATACTGCTGAAGCCATTCGCTATCAGCTGGAGCAAAGTGACGCCTGTCAGCGCCTTTTATCCATGCTTGATCAAGAGCAGGGCCACAGGACTATACACTTTCGTGTTTTGCCAGACTTTAATGCAAGGCTGATGTCGAATTTGGAAAGAACAGTACAGTCGAAAGCACTGCACTTTAAATCTACTGATGACACTTCACTGAACAAGTTGTCATTGCGCACACACATCGTTTCTGTACAAGACTGCATCTTCACTAGTGATGCTGCTGATAAAGAAATAAGATGCATTTCCAAAAGAACCATGCCTGATTATGGGCCCATAGATACCACACATTCAAACACCCGAGATGGACTGGACTACTACGACTGCATAATCTATTTGGTAGACCCTTCGCGCTTCCTCGAGGATGATTTAACGGCCACCTTGGAATCTCTTGCACCTCACCAAATATTGGTTGTTGCAGTCCTCATCAATGGAAGGAGAAACAAGTCAAGCGAGATGGACTGTCTCGTGAGATTCCTTCACGCCCTTGGCGACTTCCACAGCTGTCCACTGGCTGCTGCACCAACGAATTGGCGACTGTGGTGTATCAAGCTTCATCGAATGAACTCCATCAACTGGTCTGATCTACTAAAGTGGGCCTGTTACGACGTGATCTGCAAAAGGATTGATAGTGGTGAAGATGGCCACTCCTTACCGTCCAAGAGACAACGTAAATCATTGTAACTCTTGTGTGTCTAAAAGTGGTGATGTATTTTTCTGCTTTGCTTTCTGATTTGCCTTGGTTGGGTGCTTTAGTCTAGAGCACCCTAGGAAGGTTGTTCAATCACCAGATTTAAAGCTGACATGGTCGTCGATTCGCCTCACCCTTTTCTCCATGTCATGGAAAAACGATTAAACTCTACATGCATTGTTTTTGAAGCAGACACAGCAGTGACTAATGCCCGATTTATTACTCAAGAGTGTGCATTCGCTTGGTTGTAAGAATTAAGTTATTTGCTGTAAATGAACTAGTTCACAGTTGGCCTTCCAATATTCTTGTTCAGGACTGGAAGCTTTGGGTTTTAACAAGAGGACATAAACTTGTGAATGGACGCTTGTGCTACGTTTAAAAGACAATTTCTTGCTCCTGTTGATATGGGCTAATAAGATGTCAGGTGGGTTATACAACTACGAATGGCAATAGGTAACGGGAATTATCCATGAGGAATTCGACTAAGGGATGCAAATCAAAACGTTAAGTTTGTAAGTTAGATGTGAATTTGCAAAATTGGGCTACCTTAGGCAAACTTGGAATAAGAAATGCTGGTAGTGCATACTTGGCACATCTCCTCGCGAAGATAAACCTATGCATTGCGGTTGGAACTGGGATACATAAAGTCATATTAAGGTGAACATCTTGAGAAGAAAGTCAAATTATTTGACAAATGTTCTAAACACCTTCATTACACACAAATACATGACTTTTAGTCATCATTCGAGAGCTATCTGAGAAGAAAAATGACTTTCATTAGCAATCAAAAGTGACGATATGGATGATGCCTCACAATTCTGCCAATTTCAGAACATCATCTGACTAAGTTTCGTTCATTCTTAAAAAGCGAAGAACTGGCATGGCTTATTAATCAGACAGGAATAGATGATTTTGGGCTCAATTTTGTTTTGCGGTAACTTTGATGTTGGAGTAAAGTGACACGAGTTGGGAGGAGAGGGATTCGGCTAAACACGACACATTACTGGTACGACGAGTCAACCCGTGTGCTGTATTTCTGGAATTCCAGTTGACACGAACTCCCAATTGCAAAGTCGATGTGCACAAGCACATACAAAACTCTTATTGTACTTCCGATGAAACAGCGCCAAAACAGAGAAGTCAAATTGCCAGAGAACGCCATACTTTTATTCGCGGGCACCAAATTGCGTGATAAGCTTTCGGTTTATGGACATGAATACATGCTACAATGAGGTCAGCTGCCTGAGTCATTGCGAACTTCCAAACCGCTGCATGTTAGATCAATGCACTAGTTACCTGAACTTGTAAACATCACGCCTCCTCATGCGTACTTTGTCACCCAGCCTTATCTAGCCAGTGAATAGGTTCTAGCGCAATCATCGGCTGTCTTGGGCGAGAACACCGCCAACGTGAATGTGTAGCCATGTCGCAGCCGTCCGGAGCATAGGCCTGCTTTCTTCATTCCAAATAGTGCCCTGCACTTAGTGAAATCATGCCCCAGGAGCTTTAACTTGCAGAGGGCTCAATATTGCAGAATCTGGGGCAAACCTACGGCACGTTCACAAATAATAAGCTGATTTTTCTGGACACCCGGACTCAACTAATCATCCTTGACACAATTAATTGGGATGCTTGAGTAGAGCAAAGCGGAAGAGCGAACGCAGGAGTACCAGAGATGGCGCTCAATTTGACACTTTTGCAATCACATATTCAATTACTAATTTTAAAGTTTAATGGAATGCCTTACGCTTGAGCCACCTTAAACAAGTTAAACAGTTTGCGATGATTTCATGATTTAATCATCTAGACTCGAGTAAAGACAGGTTCGCACTATTGCAATAACCCAAATGAACCAAACGTGCCCATCACTTAGTGTTAAGTATCTACAAACCATCCGGATGAAGCTCATTAGATTAACATGTCGTTTGAGTGAAATGATTATTGGGTATATTGGAATTAAACATTGTGGGGGTTTGTCTCACCAATGTGCGAATGGTAATGTGGCAGGTGGGGGTTACAACTACGTCACTGACACAACATGATGAGGAATGTGTGAAGTCTGCCAAACCCTCCTCCCAGAGAGGCGGACCCAGTAACCACGCCCGAGGTGTGGGTGTGTTGGTCAACTTCAAATGAGTCATTAATGCTCGTTGATGGCGTTAAAACGAATTGATAGCATTCATCGTGCCCTAAAATGAAAATGAAAAAATGACATGCTGCAGTTTCTACTTTAAACTTGTCTAGTAGGCAGTCTCGTTGGTATCATCTACAATTTGCTTTAAGTCATGACACGATGCTCTTAGTGTACACGGCTACATTTTTAATTTGAGCTGTAAAACTTCCCATGACAAGGGGGGTAGGGAGAAGTACAAGCGGTAAGCATAACCACTTTGTTTCTTTTGTAGACTTAACACAGCAATCTGCGGTTAACTAGGGAATGAAAGAGATGGAGACATAGGAAATGGAAATACGAGTTAGAAGTAGGGAGAAAGAGAGCCAATTCTCTCCACTTTATGCCATTTGTTGACCTTATTCTTCGGTGGCTTCTAACCAAATAATTAGTCGGTTTCAAAGTGAGACAATTGATGAGGATGAATTGGGTTGCGATGACTTGACTGAGTCATGGAATTCACTCACATCAGTTCCTCAATTATTTCCTTAGCCAGCTCGGAAATAGAGTTTGCCATTTTCAGCATAATTGTGTTTCTCATAGATTTGAGTGAAGATGTCATTTTATAAACTGCACGGATTTCTCTACTCTAGCCAGGAAAAGGGGGCATTCCTGCAAGTAATGCATCATTGGAACCAGAATTTCCGTGCCATTCGATTATGGGTCGAGAGTTCGACTGCTGCATACCGTTTTTTAAAAATGAGATATTTTCAACCCGTAAAGCATAGGGACCCAAAGGCGGTCCACGAGGTTACAAATGTAGTGGACAATAATGAACACCCCACCAGTGAAATGACGCATCCGCAATCTTCATACAGCCATTCCAGGGAACCAAATCAGAAATGCCACTTATGCGTCTTTACTACCTACGAGCTATTCAAACACAAAATAGCTACGGAAATGCAGCCTTTATCCAATTCACCACTTAATAGCTGCTCAGTTTTTGTGATAAGGCAAATTCAAGAAGCTTCTAGAATCTACTAGGAATGGTAGAAGGCGCCATCAATGCAATAAAAGGCTGCACGCCTTCCTTGGTTAAAAACTCAATCATAACAGCAATCACAATGCATCAGCAATCGTAAAAACGGACACAAAGGCATCGCTTTTGAGTGAAGTTGTTGATTGGCAGGCTATGTAGACGACAATTGTCGAGGCACCGACATGCTGCAGACTTCATAAATATGCGCAATCAGCTGTCTTTTGATGTGTTTTACACCCAACAACTGGGTCCAGTGGTACTGTTCCATCAAGAATATTACATATAAGCATATTTTAGAGGGACTTTTAAGGAGATGAGCCGTGGAAACGAAAATAGGCTCAGAACCACCTTTCTTACGGCAAACGATGACAATTTTGCAGAATAAAGGATTAACAGCTCTTGAAAACCCAAACCACCTTTGCCATCTCCCAAAAGAGGTCAAACAGTATTCGGATTAGCACTCAACATTCTTGAAGGCCTACTTTTATCTCAATACTGATGTCAGAGCCTGCCTTCACCCTTACGAGGAAATGTTATTGCGCCCTGTTTAAAAGTCATTTGCACATATTCAACGCATCTACGGGTATCCGGATTCGAAATGCAAGTTGAGCCCATATGGCAGCACAAATCGGATTACAGATACATGTGAACGTTTTTGCTGATTTTGGTGAAAACTAGAAACAAATCGAGACGACTTCCCCCAGTCTATGATGTTAATTTCTTGTTCGGGCGCTTAAAAACTATGAAAATCATGGGTTCTCACAGCTTCTGACACAAATTTAACCCTCCTAAAATAAGGGTTTGCAGCAAGTAAGTGTCTAGATCCCACCTGCAAAACAAATACCGACTTAAATTTGGGGGTCTTATCAAAAAACTGATTTGATATTCTGTTTACAAGTGGATAGTGTCCCTAAATAATGGTTAGGTATATCCTCCAATATTGTCCCTTACCTCAAACTCTTTTTCAAGATGGGTAAGGAGAATTCAAAACCGGCAGGTCAGGCTGAGAACAGGGATATAAAATATATCTTAAAGTCAGTTGATGAGAAATCCAAAACTGCTGAAGTTGAGGCGACTTGTTACGACTCTCTGAAATAGTACGCCTTAACCACAACCAAAGGAGGAGCCGAAAGCACCCCAGCCGATGTTTTGTTAGCAACCGGATGACATGAACCGAAATGAGATGCAATTAATCTGCACTCCGCTAGCTTATATGAATTCGTTGTGGTGAAACAAGAGCATCGCATTTTAAATTAAGATTCATTCACAGATGCATTAGTTGCAAATAAACTCTAAAAGGCGCCGAAAATGAACTACCCATTGAGTTCGCATTACGAGAGGATTTCAATGACTTGTGGGTTATGAACATGTAAGTCGCCAGTAGTGACTTCCTTCGGACTGCTGTTTCAAACAGAGCGAAGGAGGCAGAAAGTGAAGCAGACATTCTCTCCTGTTCACTCCTAACCAAATATATTTCCAACTTTTCTCTGTAAAAAGGACTATGTAGGCTATAATTGTAAATTGCACATCGTCACCAGTGAATTCGGAGACAATAAAACAGTGAGCTGTCCTGATGCGCACATCACCACGAGTGATAGGCAAGTTTGCAAGAAAGACTTGATCTATTTTTGGCCTGTAGGTATAGGAAAAAGCAATCGGCGTGTCAAGGCAGCAGGGTACTGCCCTGTAATCTAAGCAATACATTATATGAATGAAGTAAGGAAGGGTCTCAGATTCCGAGAACAGAGTTTGCCGTTTTTAGAGGTAGAAGGATCTACTAGAATATAATTGGGTCAAGGTGATTTGTGAATAACGATTGCTGAATTTTTTGTTCTTCAAAGTGT